TAGTAACTAGTTTTAATAATATAAATATATTAAGCTATATATTAAATGGGTAGGGTTATAATAAATTATAATAAAACTCTAAGAATCTAGTTCTATATTCTTAGCTTATAATACTTAGTCCTTAATAAGCTATTAAAGTAATTAGATTCCTCTATAGTAAGTTTTAATAGAGAATCTTAGAAACTCTATATTATAGGGGCTATAAGTTATCTTATAGCTTTATTCCTTTAAAATAAGCTTACTTCTAGAGATATAATAATTATAAAATATTAAAAGTCTCTTTATATTATTTCTTAGGCTTAGTATAAATTTTATTAGGGTTATTAGGAAAATGCTAGTTAAAATAAAAACTAGATTTCCGAAAATTATATCTTCTTCTAAAGTTATAGTATCCTCTTAAAACTCTAATAGTAATATATTAATAGCTTAATCTATACTATATAGAAAATCTAGATATCTAGCTTTACTATTAGTGGAGATATAGACCCCTGCAAATCGCTGTTTTTGGTGTATTCTGGTGGGCGGTTGGGGGGGTGGGCGGTTGGGGGGTGGCGGGTCTTAATTCGTAGACTGTCCTGCATCCTGGTGAGCTTTTGAGCACGGACCATCTGCAACCGAGTCGTCAGAATCCTGTCTCCTGGTGATCACACGGTTCACACCAACTCCCCCTCATCGCCGTCTTGCTCCAGTTCCCAGGTCAACAAGCTGTACAGCTTGTTCAGAGATCCATCTTCTGCCGCCACGCTATGCGCTTCGAGTGTGATTACCCAAACTGCAACCGCTCGTATCTCCGGAAAGAACACCTTTCAAGACACCAGCGCAACCACGCCAACCTTCGATCCTTCGCCTGCGCTGCATGTCCAGCCACCTTCAACCGCAGGTGAGCTCAATCTATCCCAGTCAAACCTCGCGCACTGGAGTGACGTGACTCGCAGCGATCTTTTGCACCGCCATGAGGCCCTTAATCACGGGCAGCCTGCCGACCGGGTCGACCCGGTAGTGGCCGAGGGGAGCAGCGGGGCCGTGACGCTCAGCGGCCCGTCGAGCATCCTCCCCAAGATCAAGGAATCAGCCGGACCGACATATCTTGACTTGTCGGCAAAGTCACGAAGCGAGCTGCTCGATGACCCCGATCGGGTCGAGCTGCAGAACCTCTATTTCACCAAGTTCCACACAGACTGGCCCATACTCGATAAGGAAGACTTCTACCACACCCCGCAACCACCATCACTCGTGCTATCAGTCCTGGTTGTGGGTATGTATATGAAAGGCACGCCTGAAGCCAAGGCTATGGCGCTCAAGTACCACCAAGTGCTCATCAAGAGCGCCCTTCACTTCGTGAGTCCACTCTCCGCTTCCATGGCAAACTCCCTGTGAGGTGCGACGCTCACGAAGAAGCGCAGTTCAACATAATCATGCCCCTCGTGCCGACGCCCGCCCCGCGGCTGGATCTCCTGCCCGAGATCCAAGTCCTGATGCTTCCCGTCATACTAGCACTGTACTGCTACAGTGACGGGCCCTATCTTCTCCAGGTGCTCATGTGCAACAAGCATCTCTTTACGCTCCTTGAGAATATGGGTGTGTTTGATCAACGCCGGATCGATGCCGAGGTGTCGAGCGAGACGCATCGAGAGCAGTATCAGCGGTTGGAAACCCCTCCCGGCTATCCTGTCGTCTGTGCAGGCCCTATTTGCTGACGAAACCAGGTTGGCACTCATGCAACTGAAGCTGTATCTCCACGTGAACACGCTCATCATCGAACGCAACGCACAGTTCACGCTCAACAGCCTGCTGAGCCCTGCCAAGGTCAACGTTCGGGTACCGGTGCTGGGGCGCACCAAGCCCAGGGACGCAGGCGGCGCCGTCCGACGAGGCCCGTCGCTTCTCGTGGGGAGCTTGTTCGCCGAGGACGCGGACCCGAGGAACTTCAGGGACATATCTGAGGTCGTAGCTTGGGACTTTGCATTAGGCATGACGCTGGGGTGCTATCTGGCTCGGGAACCCGGCGAGACCGAGACGGAGTTGATTCAAAGGACGAAGCCGTTTCTTGCGTTGCGCTGAATGACGCCGGTTGGTAATTCAGTCACCGCCGGGCCCGCCCTTGCCCAGATCTCGGCGCACCCTCCAGACCCTCGAACCCACCGGCCGCTTCTCGTTCCCGCGCAGGACCTCCACCCATGGCGTCTCGGCCACATCGCCGGCCATACCCAGGTCTTCCGGCTCAGCCTCTGAGTCGTCATTGTCCGTGTCCTCTTCCGTGATCTCCGTCTCCTGCTCGTCAACGGCAGTCTCGCTGTACGTCCGCGAGTATGAGTCCTCGGTGTATGCCCAACCAGGCGTGTCAAACCTGCCATGCACCAGCACGAGCTGCCTGCCCGCCTTGCGGCTTTCCTCAATGCCGTGCAATGAAATTGGCGTCAGAAGCTGCAGGCTCTTCTTTGCGACGTCGATGCCGCGGAGGAGCACAAGTCCAAGAGTCTGCGAGTATCGCGGGTCGAGTGTCTGTGATGTAGGGTTGGAGATGAAAGGGATGCCCTCCGGAGATCGCGACACATAAGGTCCCGTCGCAGTAGCGGCTGGCTTACCATCCACATCCATAGTAGTCTCACGATCAACAGAGACATCACCAAAGCCTTTGAAGTCGACTTCGGGCAGAAACCTCAGGGCCTTGCCGTCCTCAATTCCGACGAGCGCCAGAACTGATCCGTTGATCGCTTCCGCCAAGAGGTTCGCTGGAGGCTGGGACTCGTAACTGAGGATCGCCAGGAACCCAGGGTTTTCTCCAGCATACTGCACCTGCAGAGGAGGGACACTCGTCAAAGGAGCAGGGTTCCAGGCTACCTGGCCAGTACTTGCCCTAATGGAGTGGAAATACGACATGGTCTGCATAGAGCGCAGATGGGCCGCTGTTCGCGAAGTGAACTCCGTTTGCTGCGAGGGCAGAGTCGTGAAATTAGTCCTCGTGGCGCTGCGTAAACCTTCAACGCTCTCCGTTGGTCCGTCCTCAGACATGTAGATAACGTCCGTCGGCGCCAATTTTGATATCAGCTCCGTCAAAAGATCAAGACCTGTCCCGAGAATCCAGCCGGGGGTGTTAATGATTAAAGGACGGTTACGTAATGCAGATTGCTGGTAGTGATGGAATAGATCTTGGGCACATTCGACATAATGCTCGGGGTCTGCTGCCGGTGAGATGGATGCCGTGGCATGACACCGGATGACGCTTGCATCTGTGGTTTCCGGTACGGCATGTGTGAAAGGGGGGCTCAGATTTGGCGTTTTGACATGGACTAGCGACATGGTGCCAGCAGGACTGAATTCAGGCTGGCCGGGGTCGAGGTCCAGTATGGCCACAGCAGGTCTCTTCGCCCGTTGGGACGGCGATGTTAACAGCCGGTTGACCAGGATGCGGCCGAAAGTTGACTTTCCTGAAGACTTTGGCCCACAAAGAAAGACGACCGGGGCCTTGCTTCCTCCCTTGGCCACGAGTTCCGCCAGCTTCTTGTTCCAGGCGGGATGCGACACCAGGTCTTGAATGACAGCCTTTTTTGGCGCATCGGCCGCAGTTCCGATCTGAATGGTCAGATTGGTCCATGCTCGGAGGTTATCATGACTGAGAAGGTACATACAATCTGGAAAGTTGATGCCAGTTCACTCTTGGCTCCTGTTCCAGGCTTTGCAAGTTCGTTCCAGAGGCTGCGGAACATAGGGGACAACCTCTCAAGCCGGCGCAGCTCGATGGCTCGGGGGTGTGGGTGCAGCTCAATCTTCGTATCCTCCGAGCATCGCAGTACAGGAATGGCGTGGCAATGGGCCGCATGTGCCCATACGATGTTGTCGGTTTTGTTCAATGTTGCGCCAGCGATGGTGACTTCACCGCTGACGACACGAATACCGAAGCTGCCGAGAACAAGAAATCGCTGCATCCATGTCAGTCTTCAGAGGTTGGAATCGCATTTGAACAGCCTCACCTCGCTTGTGCTGAGTCTCAGCTGAAGAATGGCCCCTGCGAGTTTCCGAGCATTCTGCTTGTTAGGCCTGAACGTTGAAAACTGCTGTACAGGGGCAAGAGGCAGGCCATTGTCGCTAGTAACCAATGACGCCCCAGATCCAGGCTTTTTTGCCGGTGATTCTTGAGCTATAGCGGTGGCTTCCCGCCCCCCGGGGCTGGGTGAGGGCTGCGGTGACGGCGCATTCGAAGAAGCTTGCTTCCTGGCGGATCGCCGCCCAGCAGGGAGTGCGGCTGACACCGAGACCGGGATTTTGGGGGCTGGCGAGGATGCTGAGCTCGAAGGCTCAGAAGGAACCGCAGTGGTAGCCGTACCCTTTGCAGCCAGGAGCTGGCGGCGCAGAGAAAAGGCACTCATAGCTGTGCCAGGTCAGTGGTTGTTCGGCAGAGATACGGGGTCGCGCTGGCACATACGTGCAACGTCATCGTCGGACTCGAATTTCCGGCGTTTTGGGGTGCTCATTGGCGAAGGTTGTGAGATGCTTCTATGAGATCAGGCCGTGCTGACAACATGGGCAAGTGAAGATGCTCGGGATGTAAATTTAGGTGACCAAGCTTGGCTGGTCCAGGTTTTCGGCAGTTGTGTGGGTCACTACGACCAGTGTAGGTGGAAGCCTCTTTACTACTTGTGACGCAAACCAAGCACTGAAATTGCCTGTCAATATTTGAATAAATCTGGAGATGCAATGAGAATAAGAACATGCCATCAGCTTTTCAACAAAGCCGAATCGTCTCACGAACCTTACCTCTTGCCTTCTTGAAGAGAGATCATCTTCTCCAGGGTGCAAGAGCGGCGGTAGAATTTCGGCACCTTCAGAACGCGCTAGACTGAAAACGCGCCATCGATTGGCTCCTGCCACCCCAAGCTGCCTGTCCAGTGGGACCTTCCAACCCCCCGCTTGCAGCTGCGATCTTCACCGCGCCTGCTCCAAAAAAAAATCCCAATCGTCGTCTGGAGCTTGTTTAACGAGTCGCGCCATACAAGAAAAAAGTCCCAATTCGCAACTCCAACCCAGGCCACCATCGCGCAAGGCCAATCGATTGCGACAACACTTTACATACGAAGCGCTGTTAGCATCAACATCATGTCGAAGCGCCGTAATCTCGACGGTGTCGCTTCGCTTCGCGGCTTCCTTGCCAAGGCTGGTGATGACCTTGACGCCACGCCCAGCAGCCAGTCGAAGGCTCAGATCAAGAAGAAGGCTGCATTCGATCCCCGCGCCGAAGACAGCGACAGCGAGAGCGAACCCGCCAGCAACAGTGACAGTGACAGCGATGGCGCCCTTCCCGACCCTGCGTCCTGGAATCGCCTGAACAAGTCGACATCGACTCCTACCAGCCAGAAGGGAATCGCGCCCTCCAAACGTACCCCTCGCAGCAACGAAGAGGAGGTCGCCGATAGCGACGACGGACGCGATTCCAAGCAAAACAAGAAAGTTGTTGTCAAGAAGGCCCCATCCTCTTCCTCCGACTCTTCCTCCGGCTCTTCCTCCGAACCTACCGCCAGCTCTGACTCGAGCGACTCCGTAGACGAGGCGCCCGCCAAGAAGAATATTAAGACGACTCCTTCGAAGAAGGAAGAAGACACATCGTCCAGCGACTCGTCCTCTCCTGCCGCCTCTGGCAGCGACTCGGATAGCGATTCAGGCAGCGACGATAACGCCTATAGCAAGAAGGCTGCCAAATCTCTGATGAATGGCAAGGCAGCGCCTTCCAAGAAGGCTGCGTCAACTTCCAGCTCCGCCTCAAGCTCTGCTTCCGGCTCCAAGAGCGAGGCTGAAGAGCCTACCAAGAAGAGCAAGAAGGCCAGAACCAAGAAGACGGCCCCCAAAGAGGAAACTCCTGAAGAGAGCTCAGGGAGCGAGGAAAGCGAGGCGGAAGAGCCCACCAGTGCTGTTGAGACTGAGAAGGAGGCCGAGAAGGTGGCCGAACCTCTTGCCGTTGCGCCGCAACCCAAGAAGACTGCTACAAACGGCTTCCAGGGCGAGAACTTTGTCTTGCGCCCTGTGCAGGGCGATGAGGACGGCAAGGATGTGCAAGACTTTTTCGCCCAGGCGAGACGTGAGGGCAAGCAGTTGTGGTACTTCACCGCACCCGCCTCTGTCCCCATTAACGTCATTGAGCAGCTCGAGATTCCCATCCACAAGATCCGCAACGGCGAGCCGGTCTTCAAGCATGACGGTGGAGACTACGGCGTCAACGTCAGCAACGAAGTCGCGAACCCTACCTATCAGGTCCTCATTCCGAACAAGAAGGGAGTCCGCTATGAGCCCCGTAAGTCCACACACACTTTGAATCCCCAACAGGATCGCGCTAACACGGGTCAGTCGCGCAAAACGTCGATCAGGTCATGCGCATCAAGCGCATCATCCAGGTTCCGAGCCCTGCCAACGCCGAGGTTGCCACTCTGCCCCTGGCATCCAGCAAGGGCGCCCGCCCTCAGCCCAAGGGCCTCAAGGCTAGATACCACCCTATCGGCGTGCCTGCAGACGAGGATATGGGCCGGATTGGATCCGAGTCCGGTGTCGAGGCGGAGGACGTTGAGATGACGCAAGCCCCCGAGGCGCCCTCTTCCAGCCAAAAGTCCAGCAAAAAGGCGTCGACCACTACCAAGAAGGCAAAGCGCAAGGCGGCCGAGGTCGATGAAGACGCTGCTTCCTCTCAACTCGTCGGAGAGGAGGAGGCTGCCCTGAAGAAGAAGAAGAGCAAGAAGCAGAAGCGCTCGGCCGAGGACACGCCAACCTCTACCCCCGCTGCGGCCTCTCAGGAGCTCCACACACCAAGCCAGCCCGAGCTCCCGGCGCCCAAGTCTGGCAAGAAGGCCAAGAAGGCCGCCCTGGCTGCGCCCTCCAGCTCGCAGGTGTCTAAGAAGGAGACGCCGATCCTGCCGCCGGCGGTGCCGCACCGTGCGTCTGTCTCCTCGCCGATTGTGAAGAAGGAGAAGAAGAGCAAGAGCTCGTCCGCCACGCCAAAGCCGAAGTTGAAGCAGGAGCGGCCGCCAAGCCCGTAGAAGGGGATTTGGTGGTGAGTGTTTTGCGTTCGAAACGCTTTGCTGCGGGCTCGTTGAGGCGAGGTAAGCTTGCTCGTTCGTGCTGCAGGACGACGAGCGGGGGGACCGTGTTTGTGCAAAGTCTACTCTGCACTGGGCTTGGCGATGGGAGACGTTATACTTCACCATTCTGCCATGGATGTGTGACCTCGAGCGTACCATGCCGTACCCCTGAACTCTTCCCCTTACATACACGACTCCGCAACCCGGCCATCGTGGCTTGAGCTAAACCAGCCACGATCGCATTGCTCACTTGTACCTCTTGCACGTTGCAGAACCATTATTTTTTCTTCTCACATTTCTCGGCATCGAAAATAGGATGAGCGGTCCGGCGTTCGGCTTGCATTACCACGCGGCGGGGAAGCCGTCGTACAAGGGGGGGTGGATATGTTTCTCAAGCTGTGTGGCCCACCTTCTCCGGTCGTCACAAGAAAGAGAGGAGGGATGGCTCGGCGGGCGGTGATACCAGCCATGAGGTTCTCATCAGCAGGCAGGCATGCATGCGTAGGGAGTCGCTTGTAGAGACGGCTAATCGATAAATGTGCCAACCATTGCAACGTCCGACGCTCGTGACGAGCACCCTCGCGCCCCCCTTGCCATTCATGAACGCGAAAGCTGTGCTGATGTTGGAATTGAACGGGTACCAGCCGGATGACTGGATTCGTGATCAGCGGATCAACATGCGGCGTGGCGCCCACGAGGCCCCTCGGCTCGACGCAGGGCTGAAGGAGCCAACGGCCGTCGAGAGGTTTGCAACGTGCATGCTTCCGTGGTTGCTGTGTAGAAATGGGGCGGGAAACTCGTATGCATATATGCCGGCGCCCTTCGAAAAAGAATTTGAAGTTGTTGGTTCCTTCCCATTTATTTATGGTTCTAACGATGTCTTCTCATGATGTATACTACGTGGGATGGTTTCTCGACGATATAACAACTGCACACGGCTGACGTTTTCCAGATCTGCGACGCGAGTGACTTTCGTCATCATTCATGTAAGTTGGCCAGGAGGGCCATGTGGACATCATGTCGAATCTGAACGACCAACTCGCGGAGAAGACTGTGTCAAGTCGGCGGTGGAGTAGTAGTACGTTCCACTTCCCATATCATTCTCTCACAACACTGACGTCACGCGCGAAAGACCAAATTGTTCTCATCTCTCATCTCAATTACTACACAGTAGCGAGTGCTCTACCTCTACCCCGTGGTATGTTGGCCTCCGCATTACGTTGCGACACTGCGAATCCGCTAGCAGGCGCAAGCGGAGGACCCCGGAGCCGCCAACAGCCCGAGATCCTCCTTTCAAATACATTACTTATATGTTCTATGTTCCAGGTATCCCCGTTCCGTTGGTCTTATGTGCAGTTCTCCGAACTGTCAAGCCTGCGTTGGGATTGTCCGTTTCACACCGGTCGTTCCTATGCAAAATGTGGCCCTTTCGTTCTGTCATTGCCCTGCCCCGTGTCTTTCTTTCCTGACAGGCCGGCGAGACCCCAGGCTCCTGCTGGTCGCCGCCTCCATTATGTACAAAACACCCTGGTACGCCATTGCTGTGCTGATGCAAGAAATTCGAATGCTGTTTGGACGGTCGTCGGATGAGAACGAGTCTTCGTCGCTCAGCGTGAAGCGAGTGGATTGAAGCGGCTTACCCACCAAACGGTGAGCGTGCCAATGTTCGGCGGACCGAAATTCTGGTGATGAAGGTTTGCCAAGTGGCAGTGTGCAACCCGCTGCTGGGTTACCTGATGACGACGACTTCGCTGAGATCGCCGTCGTGTGGTGGGACGCCGCCATCCCACATGTGGCCATGAGGTGTCATCTCGACAGAGAAAACGCCTTGCGGGTGTCCCTCGTCGGACGGTGCAGGACTCAATGTGCCGCTGCCGCTCGTAGAGAGTGTGCTGCAGCTCGAGGTGCTGCCAACAGTCCATTCGTCGCTGTCGGCAGAACGTTGGCGGTGCATCAAGCCGAGGCTGTAAAAGTCGCCGTACTCCTCATCCACAACCTTCTTTTGCTCGCCAATCTCGACATACGTGTACTCGAACCGGGTCGTCTTGTCAGATTGCTGCTTGGGCAGATATCGGGTCTTCGCGGTGTAGAAGATGGCTGCAGAAATCAAGGATCCACCAACGAGGTCGACGGCGTAGTGATGGTTGAGGTACATGGTCGCCCACCAAATCCAGGCGACATAGGAGATGAAGAAGGCACGGAACCGCGGGAAGCAGTAGATCATAAACAGAGCCTCGAGGACTGCATCGGCGGCGTGAAGGGAGGGGAAGGCACCAAAGGGGAGAGGGGCCGTCGTGAAGTTTGTCGTGTACATATCAACGCCAAAAATCTTGTCGACACGAGCCAGACCGGCAGGCGAGCCCTGCATTCCGTAGGCGGCGGGCGCCAGACCGTGCTCGTTCTCGTACCAAGGTGGCGTGCAGGGGAACACCAGTTGCAGGGTGACTCCCAGAACGTTCAGCCAGCCAAAGGCCTTGGCGAAGACGGGCAGCGTCTTGGGGGCTCCGAAGGTCCAGATGAGGATGGAGCAAATGGCGGGATTGGCGAAATGGCCGATGCCATACGGCAGCCAGGCGAGAATATCGAGAACGGCGTGGGTGTGGGCGGAGAGGATGTTGGACAAGTTGGCGCCGTACAGGACGTTTTCGAGGGCCGGGAGAACGCGGACCCAGATGTGCGGGCGGTACTTGGCGTCGATGAAGCTGCAACGCGATTACTACAAATTCGAAAGCAGGCGGGGAAGTGGTACGAGAACTTACCGGCTACAGAAGAAATACAGGAGGTAGGTCCAGATGGATAGGGACGGCAGGAAAAACTGGTTCGTCGCGGGCATGAGCAGAACCAGAACAGTGGCGCAGAGTGCCAGAGTCTTGATGATAGGGGCCGACGGCGATATGGCGAGGGAGAAGACGATTAGGGCGGCGAGGATGACGTATTGAATGTCGAGGATTCGCCAGGAGCGACGACGCAGGGCGCGGATCGAGTGCATGGGGTTGAAAGACGTGTTGAGCGCGGTAGCCTCGTTGGAGCCGAGAACGAACCAGGCGTTGGTGGTGAAATTTGCGGTTGAGCGCTTCTTCTGGTGACCGCCCCGGCTCCGGCTGGGCCGGAAGCGACGAGGAATGGGGTTTAGTTTCGCGAAATTCAAGGTGCCGGGCGACAGAAGCGGCACCTTTGGCGGCTTGATTTGCAAGAACGAGCTGAAGTCTTGCATCGTGGCGACGTTTGGCGGAGAGGGTGCCCAAGTGCGCTTGGTGGTGGTTGTGATGGGTGGTGGTAGGAGAAGAATGACAGCCCGACAGTTGCCTGCGACGATTGGACGGGGCACCAGGTTGTAGTAAAAGGCTACCAGGTAGTAGTAAAAGGCGAGCGGCAGGGGTGACGCTTGCCAAGGAGGAACGGCGAGCGCGAAAGAACAAAACGCCGAGTGCACGTCGGTGTTGTGGGCGGACAAGCGGTTGTTTAGTCGTCGGTGCTAGTGGTTAAAGCAGAGCGCGCATGCATTCGGGTGTAGCGGCGCTGGGGCTCGTGCTGGCGTTGGCGTGGGCTGGGATGGAGCTGCTGCTTGCTGCTGCTGCTCGCTGCTGCTGCTGCTCGCTGCTGCTGCAGTGGGTGCTACGTCATGTAGGGGCGAAGGCGTCAACTGTGCCAACTCGCAAGCCGAAAAAAACTGATCCGACGACGACGACCTGAAGGTGTCTAACGCAGGTCTGAGACGGACGAGTGAGAAGGTCGACGGGTTGTAGGGTGCGGTGTGAGGTGGGAGGTGAGGTTGAAAGGGTCGTCGGGACGGTCGGCGAAAGGGGAGAGAGAGAGAGTTGGCGCGGGGAGGGAGACGAGACGCAGAGCAAAACGAGAGGAAGCACAATACAACAGACGAGAAATGTGGATGACTGTACCCATATGTACTATGTATGATGACCTGGGTCCAAGTCCGGGTCTGGGTCTGGGCGCGCAGCAGGGGGAGGAGGTACCGTAAAAGTGAAAGGCAAGCGCAAAGTGGGTTGCGCTGCCTGCGCTGTGTCTCTGCTCAATCTTACTTGGCCCTTGCCAATGTCTGCCTGCCTTGCCTACCTTGCCTACCTACCTTGCCTGCCTTCTTCGCCTTGTCATCATCGCTCCTGACAGCCCCAGCAGGAGGTACCTACCTTGTCAGCCAAAGCAGCCACCAGTGACCAGTAGACTGGATTAGGTCGCACTGGGGGCCTGACCGCTTGCCAGCCTAGCCACCTTTGCAGGAAGTGTGTTTGAGTAGGCGCACTGGCACTGCCAAAGGTAGTGGGCGAGAGCAATCACAGCGGAAGGGGCGGAGACCAGGGTCATGCCAGATGCCGAGCTGCTAGTCCCAGGCCGGCTTGGCCTACCTGTTCCTTTTCTCCCGCGAGTCCCCCCCCCCCTAGCTTTTTTTTTCACTTCAATTTCCATGGCTTACAGCTTACCCAATCTGCCCACCAACAAAGATCTTTCCCCTGTGGTCTGTCTCCTAAGAAACCCCCCGGCCGGCGATTAGGAAGACTCCGAGCACCGCGCGCGCCCTCATCCGCCCGCGCGCGCGCCTCGTCCCTTCAAGCAAGCAACGGACGGGCCTTCGGGCACTGGATCGGTCTAGCCCAGCATTTTGATGCTGTCCGATGGCCGACTCTGTTCCCGATGGGACGGGCAAGATGTTGTTCGAATGCCCAAGCCCGAAACTCACAGCCAGATCTTCATTGTCTTGTCAAGTTACCACAATCATCCTCCTGGGCCCCCAATTCATTCCCATGGTTATCACGGCCACCTAAAATAGCTTCAGAATCCTCCTCATAAAAACCCTCCAGATCCTTCGGTACGTGAGCGAGGGCGATGCGATTCGATGCGAAGTGGATGGGACTGCACCACAGAGCACCAGAAGCGAGATGCATTATTCAGTGAGTGACCAGCGTTTGGCGCCGGAAGCCACGGCTCGAGTCGCAGTACAAGGCACTGCAGGGTTTTGGGTACCCTGGTCGAGGCGCTAACAAGGGAGGGCGAAGGATTTCACCTCGCCTTTTACCTTTGCCTCACCTCACCTCACCTCACCTCACCTCGCGTGCACCCTGGCGCCTGGGGTCTCCTAAGGAACGAGTCTCTACCTGCCGACAATGTTGAACCGAACCGAACCCGAGTTTAATCGTCGGGCAGAAAAGCTTGCGCTACGGCCCATGCCAACGTACATGTACACACACAAGTCAACCGAATTGTCATTGACATGAAAACAATTTCGATCTCCCGCAAGGATACTGTCAGACGTGTCAGAGCTCATCTCGAGCTTTGCTGATCTCCCAGCTGACGGCAAAACATCCGGCTTTGCTCGCGTGTGCAGCCCCAGAGCAATCTCCCTATCAGCCCCCAGCCAGATCCTCAGAGTCCGAGGTTCCAGGCTCCAACCACACTGAGGGTCCGAACCGTAGCGCAGATTTGTCGGATACTTCTTTGCTTGCTGACTGCGAGACCGCGCCCGCCGAGCCTCCAGCTGGAATTGGCCTGGGGTCGCCCCGAAACCAACGACGGCGATTGGTGAGGTCCCCCTGCTCTTGGGACAATCATTTCGGTGAAACGCTGGGCATCCACCGCACACACGCGACTCGGGAGGGTTTGAGGCCTCTCCTTCTTTCATCGGGATTTGGGCACACAGCTTTCAGTACGGCGTGTCAGAACGCGAATTACGGGCGCCAGGGTGCGCGTAAATGGCGATGGGCGCCGGCTGATTGACGAATTTTACGATGTACGATGTACGGACTATCACGATGTACGGACTTTCGAATCACCCAGATGGCGTCCCCATCGGCGTCCTCCAGCCTGTCTGTCAATCCCATTCCGCCGCCTCGAATCCACCTCTACCGTCTTCAGCAGCGCGCGCACCCGACACTCACCGGGCTGGCTGTTGTGTTGTCAGGCCTGCCACATGCTCCATCGACAATGGAGCTGAGCATTCTTTCTCTTGCCTCTACCCTGCCTGCTCGTTTGCTGAGTCAGGCGAGGCCATGTCTTCAGGTCCAATGACGCCGCGACAACAACAGACCTGGCACCAGGCTTGGATACCTTGGCTCATGTACCTGTACCTTGGGGCTCCATGCTCGTCCGATGACAAGTCCTCCCTCCCCGACCGTCGCCGCTGCAAAGCTCCACATCCGCCGACAAGGCCCTCTGGCCTAGTGCACAGTAGCTCGTCCTTGCATCGCTGTGTCACTGGCATGCATTTGGCCATGTCGTCATTCATTTTGAACGTCGAGCTCATCCCTGGTTCGCTGGTATGAGACAAGCTGCTCACGAGACGACTGCACTGCATTTCCGCCCTGCATCGTCTGTACGTACATGGTATATGGCTGGTGTCAAGGGTGCGACGTTGGAGGGCGCCACTGCTGGTTTGGGGCATCAACTGCCAGACCAACAGTGGCGCACGCCTTACGAGATGCTCATGCGACGACGAGCTTGACGGGCGGCCGGGGGGGAGGGCGTTGAAGCGCCGACGACGCTTACCTACATGCTGAGGCAACCTAATCTGCAGCCAAGCACGCGACCTCGAAACACGTTGCGCCTGATACACCCGTTGTCGTCACAGCCTCTCGTCAACAAGACGGTGGCATGGGTGTTTGACGCACTCAGCCATCCATCCATTCGTCATAGTATTCCCCCGGTTTTGAGGCTTGGCTTGTCCGAGGCGTAAAGGACTGTGTGGCTCGATGGGCGGTGTTGACTGCCTCAGCCCCCTTTGCTTGCCAGCAGTTCAAGGCACCAGCGAACGGGGCGACGTCGTGCTTCTGTCCTGCAAGTTGTGCACGCATCCTGACCATGATGCACAAATCATCGATCGAGCAAGTATCGGCGTGGACTGATCACCCACAGCCGTACATGTACATGGTAGCTCGAGCTCGGGTTGCTCGCTTTCGCTTAGCCGGTTCCCGCGCGTGGGCTCGCGTTTCCCGCGCTCCCACTTTCGCGCGCGTTGCGGTGCTTTCCGGACCTGTGAAGTTCCCGAGCCCGAATCACCTTCAGATGCGAAACGGGCGGGCTCCTTCGCTTCCAAACAGCAATGTGAGCACACCCACCGAAAGAAGACCCCTGGGATCGCGCTACTGCGCGCACTTCCATCTCTCGTTCGCCGCTCGCCACTCGCCGCATTGCCAAACGAGAACTCCGTTCATCGTTACAATCTGGGTCGACTCTACTACTACTACATGTACTCCAGTCGGCGATCGCACACAGAGTCAGGCGGTCAGGCAGAGTGAGCAGCCACAGAAAAACAACGAATCAAACAAGTAAGCTCGGCTCCTAATAAGCACGCGACAGGCATGAGCATGTGTTTCGTCCCACCCGCGCTGGCCGTATCATTTGCAAGCGTCGGTCGGGCGCCGCCAGGAATCCAACTCTAAAATCATCATCTGAGGTGATGCGGGGGACTCGAGCTCTCCTTGTCTTGGGGGCAACTCATGAGCCCAAGCCGTCGATCGGTGCGAAGAGGCGGTCGCCCAGTCAGAGTGCCGCCTCTGCTCTCCCTCGCCCTCTGATCGGGAGGCAGCCCACCAGCCAACGACGGCGACTCGTTTAACGCGGCCAGAAGAGACAGCACAATCTCGCTTAATAACGCGACATGGTGCCATTTGCCTTATTTGCCTTGCCAGAAGCCAAGTCATCTCACTCAATCTCAGCCTTAGGCCTGTCGTCCCGACACCGCAAACTCCCGTGATTTTGTCGGTCACCAACCAGCGACGTCACACAAATTGGGGGCAAACGCTTTCGACCTCGACGCCCTGCTGCAGGGAGTCACGCTACACTCCCAAACTCCCAGACCACTACACCACGGTGTCAGAAGCCAACACCGGCAATTGTTGGGCTCGACGTGGGCCCTTATCGACATCCCATCGGACACCACATCGGCTTTTCCTGCACGGTGACACGCCAAAGTGGTGCCGAAGTCCGCTCCATTGGTCATCAGCAGCCCTTTTCTGTCCGCCCTAGCGCACTGCTGCATGCTGCATGTCTGGCGTTTCTGCCGTCCACGATCCACGACAAGCCGTCAAGATGTCAAGCCGTCAAGCACGCCGAGGTATCCGGCCTCAAGTGGCGCCAGTACATGGTAATTCCGCAGGGATTGGGTGCACCACCGGTTCGACCGGTGGCTTACAGTACTTCCCGCTGGATGAGCGGTCACGGTCGCGCGACCCGGACGGCGTCTTTCAGATGGAGACTTGCTAGCCACCTTTTTTTTTCTACTGATTTTTTTTTCCTCATTCCCGGTCTACCTTGAACCCGCTTCGGCTAAGTCTTCAACTCATCTCCGGGCACCGCCGAAGTAGTGTCCCCTGTGAAGCCCGGCCCATCGCCTTTTCATAGGGCTGGCTACCTGCCGCCACAGGGTTGTGGCTTGTTTGGAACCACGCGCGCAGAAATTCCGGCAAGTCAGGGGCTTTGAAGTGCCCAGCCATGCGACGACCACGATGCTACATGGCTACCGTATACCTCAGGCCACTATGCGCATTCAGGCCTTGACGCACTCAAGTTCATGACAACCCTGTGTACAAAGGAATAGTGAAACGGTGCTGCTCTAGCTCTGTTGCTATTCGTTGGCCTTGTTTCGACTAGCAACCTTGTCCGATCCCGCCATGTACGCGTTCCGGATCAAAGGTTGTAAGTCTTTGCCGTCATCAAATGCATGGTAAGTCCAGTCCCCTTACTGGAAGTAGCGGACGGAGTGTATGTCCTTCCGGGGTCGGAGAGCACGGTGTACCGGTCGGCTCGGCAGACGCCGTCATTGCCGGAAGCTTCAGAGGGCGGTCTTAAACGACCATGAAGCTGAGTTTGTGGGTGAAACACAAACTGCACTCGACATGGGCTTGGCTTTGATAACTACTGCGTGACAAGATTCGCAGTCATCATGAACTGGGACTGATCGCGTTGCTTCATGTGCGAGGCCCTCAAATCGAACGAAGATGCATATGCTACAACAATCATGGAAGACTACAGATAACCGTCTCACAGCAATGCGTGTATGCCTTGGCTGGCGTTGGTGGGATACTCCCTGTCCAAATCATGCTTTCAGGCACATCTCCTGATGGCCTCGCTGATCTTCCATGGTCTGTGGTCCACCTGCCATGTGCTCACTCTCTTCTAGCCGGGTCTGGTCTCACGCGTCTCGTGAACCATCCCCAGCTCCTCTGGATAAAAAAGGGGCCTCGTTGTCGGACCTGGTGCCATTCATTTCTTGGGCTCTACTTCCCAGCCGAGGTCGTCCTCCTCTGTAAAGTCTCTTCGAGCCTTGCATCTCCTTGTTCATTTGCTTCTGTTCCTCGACCTTTGCATCTTTCATTTGATGCTCGGTAATCACGGTCCCTTGCAGAACGACATCGATGGCACCATCATGCTGTGTCGTGATGAACGTGGGCCAGACGGGGATGCTCTCCCTGCTGATGGCGCCGTTAGGCTGGACTGCCTGTCGATTTGGCGCCCTTTGTATTTCGTTTGCAGGAGGAACAATGCTGGGGAACGACTTCCAGTCGTCTGGATAATCGGGATGAAACTCGAGATCTGCCGTAACCAAGAGGGTGTACCTCTGGAACGTCTCCCACATCTCGCTGATTTCGCGGCAGACCTTCTCCAGAGAGGCACGGAACGACAAGGAGTCTCTTTGGCGGAGCAGTGGTTTGACGCATTTGTACACTCCGTCGACGGCTCGTCTTGCTTGCGCCTCTCCATGCTCGTCTGGCGATGCGCGGAGAAGCACAGATCGCAGGTGACTCGCTTGTTGTTTGTCTTTCATGTCCAGAATCAGACCTGACAGCTCGCTGCTCTCTGTCATGAAATATGTCGGCTGGAAGATGTAGAGCTCAAGCTGGCGGGACAGGACGGCGAGGAACGAAGCAACGCGCATCAGCTTTGCCGCGGGAGTGTTGGACCGCGGCAGTGGGATGCTCAGGTTCTTTTTCTCGTCCTGTGTCTTCAACCCAGTCCAATTCTCCGGGTCAGACAGGACGGCGTCGTCGAGATCAATGCCAACATGTGCGACCGCCAAGGACCGAGAAAGCTCGGAAATGGTCCGCAACTTGGTGATACTGTGCCCTGGTCAGTCAAAACTGTGCAGCACTCGTCGGGGGGTCGTCACTTACGCTTCTTCCCGATTAAAGGCGACAAGGGGGGTGGTGTAGTGTTCGATGCGTTTGAGGCTTTCTGCGGCAGAGTTAAGCTTCGCCTGCGTGGCGTGCAGCTCTCCTTTGGCCTTCGCCTCCAGAGCCTTGGCTGCCGCCGTGTTGACGCGCTCCTTCTCGAGGCTGCTCTTCATCCCCTCGATGGTCTTGTTCATCGACCTCACCCGCGACTCCGCTTCGGCGCACGATCTCCCCTTCTCAGCAAGTTGCGTCTTCGCAGCCGCGGCCGCCTTGACGGCGCCCGCGAGGTCCGCTTTCAGTGCCGCATTGGCCGCGGCCAGCTGCTCCAGCTCACCCTTCTTCTGTTCGACAAGCTCGTCGCTGGCGTCTATTCTGGCGTAGAGCTGCGCAGATTTCTTTGTGATCTCCTCGAGGGTGATGTGAAGATTTTCATTGCTTCGCTCGAGCTCCCGCTTCTGGCTGAGGAAGCTCTCTACGACTTCCGTCCCGTCGTTCGACACGATTGCTTTGATGGACTGGATCAGGGTCCCCAGAACCTCGTCGGGGCTCGCCGTCTTTGCCATATTGGGGGAGGCGAACAGTGGTGGCCAAGGACGTGGTGCGGCCTCAAGTGACGTCGAGGCTGCGAAAGAGACGCGACCATGCCGTCCATTATGTAGCAACGACGCTCACGCCTCCGCAGCACTGATCAATGCCGCTCATTCGTCACCAGCCCTGCAGTCTTCGCGAGTTGGCCAGTTCGAACAGCCCACAGCAGGCCAACACGCATCCTCGAAGATGTGGTGTGTCTGCCCGACTGCCTTTCCTGTCCTCGGTGTTCGCGATTCGAGGCTGTCGAGCAGCACGGCAGTGGTCGCGCGGCAGCTCTGTCAGTCATCCCGTGCCATCCATCAGGCGTAAGGGGCGCGTTTGTGGACTGCCGCTGTCACATGCAGCTGCACGTTGGTGCAAGACGGCCTGCAGGGCCACGCTGGTAGGGCCAGGCGGGCCTATCAGCGCGGAGCGGTCGATCACACCGGTCGAGTGACGATAGCCTTGGGGTGGGCGAGTGTCAGGACGGCCGGAGACGTGATGGGATTGCCGGACGGGTGCGTCGTCGGTGGTG